TATATTCGTAAGAAAGTAGGGTTTCGAGACTACCAGTAAATCATTGTAATGAGATGTATTCACCCTATTAGACAAATAGACAATGAATTCACTGCTACGAAAAGATGGAAGAGCCCCAGCATCATACGGTTTTCCAAAAATACACAAAGCAGGAGGACCATTAATAATGATAGTGAACAATAGACGCAGACCAACACATTAATTGGCTAACTTTATCTGCCTCAAGATAAAGGAGATGAATTACAGATTATCGAACACAGTGGAAAACTCATATGAATTTTGCCAAAGAATCAATGGCACCAATTTGGACACATGAACAATTGACTAGTGCCCTAGGACTAGATGGGACTATCAACCTGAGAGACAAGAGTTTGCTTTATAGGATTCGAGCGTGAAAAAGGGGAAGTGTTGCATTTTCACATCTTTGGTTCCGAACTAAGGCAGGTTGTGTGGGGCTGAGAAAAAGGATAACTGAGTGATGGGTCTGAAGCCTAGGGAGCGAAAGATGTCTGAGTATGGGCATCACTGGCTCTAAATCATCGAATATGGCCTAATCGGGGAGGGGAAATAAATGGTCATAAACAGTCAGGCAATGATTTTAATAAGTAATAGCAAGCAATTGACAAGCGGGGAGAAAGAAAGAGAGTTAAATGAAGGTCAAAAGCTCTGTAACCGGTTCCTGAAACTAGTTGTGACTTGTAGCGACATGCGCTTATGAGACATTGGAGGAAACGAGGGCAGATAATTGTATGGATAGATAAACGGCCATATGAAGTGGAAAATTACCAATTCAATGGTACGATTATGGAAATCGCGAATATTATGTCAGAGTACACATGACTAGGTACGTTCCACAAAGTCCCCCTAATGTTCCAATTAAGTTGAGAAACCGAGGTCGAACCAACACTAGCTTTAGCTAAAGGAAACTGTGACCAAACAGAAGGCCATACTTGGTATTCATATCTACGATTTAGGCCAACATGTTGGACAAGTGTGAGTTAGCTTAAAACCACCTAACTGATAAGAGTTGGCATGAATGTGGTTATAAGAATGATACCTTGCTCTGTTAATGCCGGTCATACGAGGGATGAAAGCTTAGCACGTTTTCACCGGAATCAAACGAGATCGCTTCAGTAAGGCCAATCGACAGCTGGTCAAGAGGAATCCGTCATGATCTTATTATAGGATCGACCTTTGAAACTCTTCACCAAACACTTTTACTCGAAATTGAAGTAAGCTCAATAAGTAGTTCTTACTTAGCTTTCTACCACTGTTCCTCACATCCGACGTATTCCCTAATCTATTAATTGTAATGGCATTTTCTATTTCCTTTATTATATCAAACATACCAAAAGCAGCAAATATACACGATTTAATCCATTGTATATCATGTCCAATCTCTGACGTGTTCGGCCACTTCTGACCGTTGGACCAAGCTCCCTTTACAAGCATTTTTGTGTTTCCTTATTCCTTGTCGAATAGGCCGGTATGCTTTACCAGCATAAGGAGCCCACATGCTTGTAGCAGGATGAAAAAATTGGGACATAAGTAAAGGCCTCCGATTATCTATCATTGACTAAATACTCTCAGTCTGAAAATTAATTTCTCAGAAAAGAGAAATTATTCTCAATTAAGACCAAAGGATAAAAATTTCTCGGCAATAAATCTTTCAACCGTTTCATTTCTTTATTCCAATAGTTACTATCTGCTAGTCTCATGTTTCTAATGGTAATTGACTTTAAAATTCCAAACTTAGATTTGTAACTATGGTTGGAGAGAGAATTCTTTGTATTGTATTGACAAAATGCAAGATTGCCTTGAATATAATCAAAGTCTGAATGTGATATGGAAGAAGTCTAGCCTTTCTTGAAATCCACTCGTGGCCATAAGGCGTACTGGTGGCATGCCGAAATTATATCCTGAATTTCCTGTGTTCGAGTCCCGTTTGTGATGCTGATTGGATTCAATAGAGGTCAAAATTACAGTCCATCATCGTTGAGAAGAACGGTTGGGAAGCAAGACTAGGGGAACGCATATCTGTCCCTTATCACCTTATGCAGCCTAAGGGGAATGGAATTCTTATTATAGATGTGCTTATAGTCTTACAACCTAGTAATTATGTATGCAAGAATTACCACAGTTGGGATTTACAATCTACATGGTAACTGAGGATGGATTTCTTTGGATACTGTTTGGTTAGGTACATAGTTTTCAATCTAAAAATCCCCGAGTCATGTATCTACTAAAATCAATGATAATCTAAGGGAATCCAACAATAAAAATAGAGACCATATTACTTACCATGTTGACCAGCATATAGCTACCAATGCATGTATTGTGTATGCATATACATGTCATCGGCAAATTATAGGATATCGCCAAAATATTCAGAATAAGTAGAATTTATATAATTATTACTATACTTCTTTTCGCAACTAATCATTTTAGCCAAGACAATTCCCCTTCAATAAGCATGTTTCTGGGCAAAGACATCGCCATCAACATCAACATTAATATATCCACGAAGTTGAACTCACCTCGATGGCACATTCTTTGCCATTTTTGATATTCTAATCAATCTCGTTACCGTCTCTCTCGACTTAATATATGTCATATTCAAGACTATCCTCACCTCCGCTATTTCTTCCCCATCTGCTGTCTCGCCAGCCAACTCTTGGGTTGCTGCCTCTCCGCCCAGCATGACCGCGGTCTCTTCCAACTCTGGCTCATTCTCCTCTTCATAGCTGCGGTTGATGGTCGTTTTTCGGAAGCCGATTTTCTGGAAGGCTTCACGGTTTTGCATTTGAGGTGGCCTTGTAGTTAGTACCTGACAAAAAGTTGAGTTAATAGTTACAAATTAATCATGGAGTTATTCAAATTAATTGCCATCAAAAAATAATCTCTATACACTTAATTTCCAAGTATGCTCAAGATTATGGATCAGAATAAGTTTGGGGGGCAAGGGTAAATATTTAGTGGATAATACTCCAAAAGATTGTTATTTGAGGTGTTATAGATACAACTAAGTGTCTTGATTTAAAGATCAAGTTCAAATTATTTTAAGAATAGTTAGAAACAAAATAGTGTTTCATTTGAATCAGAACTATAGTCAATCTAGGTCTTATAACATACTAGAACTCTTTTAGTC